TGGACACCTGTCCCTCCGCCTGGAGCCTGGGGGTGCTGGACACCTGTCCCTCCGCCTGGAGCCTGGGGGTGCTGGACACCTGTCCCTCTGCCTCGACCCTGGGGGTACTGGACACCTGTCCCTCTGCCTCGACCCTGGGGTTGCTGGACACCCACAGGTAGCACTGCACTGGCAGTGTGGCACCACCAGGGAGAGCTCTGACTAAGACCAGCCTGCCAGACCCTGGCGGGGGCTTGAGTTTCATTCCCAGCCTGGTTCCCTGGTTGGAAACATTGCACAGCTCAGCGAACCTCACCGGGTACCCAGAGTCCTGGGCTACAGCTGACTGCCCCCTTCATAAGTGCTTTCCAACACCTGAGACAAATGCTACCAGTTCACCCTTGGGCTTTAACAGACCACATCTTGCTGAGGGGATAAAATCAGAAAGGAATCCACCTCAAATTCCTTCCTTTGCTCCCTTGCTTACATCGGTTCTGTGTGACCTTACATGCTCCAGGTCTGTAAGCGTTCACATCCAGCTCCACTAGTGTACTGGCTATTTGACCACCAGCAAGTTACTTAACCTCTCTGAGCCTCACTTTCCCCTTTGATACACAGGGGAAATATTAGGACCTACCTCACAGAGCCTGGGGTGGTCGTAAACATAAAAATAAGTAATCCACGGCACACGTGCCCAGCGCCCAGGCCGATCCACAGCCAGCACATACCCAGCTCACACCAAGAGCACAATAATTATGGCTGCCTGACTGACTGAGGTCAGTACTTGCTATCAGCATCGCCATTGTTTGCCTAGAAATCTAATGAGAGCGAGGACCACAGCCAGAGCACAGGAGGGGCTGCAGAAGTCAGAGGTGCCTCCTGCACTGGCCCTGGCTGCTCCAGGTTAGCACAAGCCCGTGGTTCATGAGCCTTGTGCACGCCCACCTCTGTGAGGCCCTGAGGACCCCTGATGGCGCTGCGTGGTGGCCGCCACAACGCCGAGACTACCCTCCCCCATCGGGCCCACTGCAGGGCAAGGGTCTAACCCCTGCCCCACGCCACCCCTGCTCATGTGACCTGGGCCAGCAAGCCCGCCGACACGTCCAGGCATCTGGTTCCCCTGGGCTCTCAGCCTGTAGAGTAAATGCCACCAAATATGCCCCTGGGGACCGTGTTCCAGCCGCCTACAGCTCTCAAGGGGAGGAGTCAAAAGGCTAATGTTCCCCCGGGTCCAGCAGGCTGGGCCACGTGCCTGGCTTGCCTGCAGGCAGTGCATGGAGCCTGGCTGGGGACCAAGCCAACCCCTTATGCCACCACACAGGCCTCTCTGAGTTTGCCTGGGGGCTGTGGGATGACTGACCATCTCCTGCCCCTCCAGTGGTGAGAACAGGAGACACCAGGACTCCTGGGGTCCTGGCCCTGTGGGGTTTGGTCTGGGTTATGGGGCGGGTCAGACCTGGCAGGGACTGTTTAGTCCCAGGTGAGGCCCCTGAGGGGAAGGGAAGGGGAGAGAAGAGGGTGGAACCCACCCCCCCGCCCCCGCCACCCTGCATCCTTGACAATCTCCTCGGCCAGGAGTAGTGATGGGACAGGTGCCGAGGCTGGCAGAGAGCCGGGCACCTGAAGGCCCAGGCCGTCTTCAGTGCTCAGCGAGCAGAGCTGGTGACATAGGCAACTGCTCCCCAACATGCCCGGTCAGGCCCTGGGGGCCGCCCCAGGGAGTGAAGGATGGGAATCAGGAACTCACCCGCTCTCGCTCTCCAGGAACACGGAGCCGCTGCTCTCCGCAAGGGCAGCGCTGATGGGCGAGAGGCAGAAGGGGGAAGAGAAGGCATCAGAATCCGAGTCGAAGGAGCTGTCCCTGCTCACGCTGTCAGCCGACAACTCCAAGGAGCCCTCCTCCTCGCCGGCCTCGGGCCGCAGCTCCCGCCCCTCCTCAGTCCCATCCTGCGAACTGACTGCAGACAAGATCCCAGAGTCGCTGTGGGCCGGCTGCGAGGCCGCGAGGGGGCCATCCATTCCCAGGCCCTGGGCCAGCTTCTCCCCATCATCTGGGGAAGGGCTGATGTGCGCAGTGTCCCGGATGCTCTGGGCCACCACCAGGATGTCCTCATCTCTTGGGATCAGGGTGGGCCTTGGCTCCGGGGTGGAGGGCTGGTGAGGGGCCCCTGAGCTCTGGGCACGCCGACCCCGTGGGCGGGGTGCCTTGCGCACGGGGGAGCTCTCGGGGGTGATGTAACGCAGTGCCTCCTCGTCCTGCCTCTGGATCCGAGAGTTGGGGACCCACGCAAGGATGAGAGTGGCCCCCAGCAGCTCATCCTTCTCCATGTACAAGCACAGGTAGCCTGTGAGGAGCCAGAGGACAGGTGGTTAGGGAGGGAAGTGCACGCGGTTTGTCGGCGAGGCCACACCTGTTTGTAAAAACGTGGTGCCGTGCAGATGAGTCGGGCTTCAGACACAGCCTGGCCCAAAACACACCCGAGGGACACAGCCGAGCTGGGGATGGATGACAGCTCTGGGGATTTTCCAGCACACACTCTTAGCAGACCCAGGGGGCACCAGGCCCTGTGAGTTCAGAGCCCCACCCCGCCCACTGTCTGGTGGCCCCAGAGGCTTCCTGCCTGCCGTCAGCCTCCACGCCTGGGCATTTCCTACCGCAGCACCTGCCATTTCGGGATGTCCTGATTCCTGGGCCTCTTGTACCAGGCCCCCAGGCCTCCTAGTCTCTGTCTGAAAAGCTCCCCCAGGGCAAGAGCTGGGCCCCCTTGACCACATCCCTCAGAGCTCTGGCCCCACCCAGAATCTCCTTAGCACCACTCCGGTTTCCAGAAGACATGGGGAAACTCAGGGGCTATCGGCCAGCTGTGCATAAGGCCCCCGTGCCACTGGGCCAAGTGTCTCCACAGCCTCAGATCACTTGCTTGGGGATCCAGAAGAGAGCCCGAGGCCTCTGCCCCTCTCTCCCTCACCTTCCATCACAAAAGGACTACACCACGAAGTTCTCCCAAGGCTGCTGCTCTTCTTTTCGTGTCATACCCAGAACACGCAACAGCCTCAGACCCGGGCCTAGAACCTCTGCCCCCTGCTCCCCACATCCACGCAGCCGGTCCCACGGTCAGGCAGCCACAGAGTCAAGGTGATATGCCATCCAGAGCCTGCACACCCCTCTAGAGCACACTCCGGGGACCCAGGACCCTGGATTTCCGTGCCCAAACAGTCCGGAGTCTGCTTCCAGGGTCTGCTCCAGAGCTGTTTGTGGGGGCGGTGGACGAGCTGGGGTGTCCACAGAGAACCACCAAGGCCCCTTACAGTGCAGGAAAGAGCTGGGGCTGGAAGCCAGTGCTCTTGCTGGAAGCTAGTGGGGCTGATGATTCTAAATCTGCACCTGACGTCCAGGTGACTGTGGAGATATACTTAGCAAGGCAGGATGATAGAACACTTTTTAAAATAGTTCATTAGGATAATTTAAATTTTTTGTCTTTTTAATAACTTATTTATGCAGTACTTTGTTGACACATAATTTGCATACAGTAAAGTGTCCAGATCTGATTGCAATTTATAACTTTTAAGTGTTCCAACATCTGGTGTGGGGCCTCTGTCTGCACTGGGGTGGGCAAGTCTCTGTGGGCCACAGCCAGGCCACAGGTGCACTGGGGACCCTGAAGCATCCTTTGGCAGCCTAGGGAGGCCACAGGAAGAAATGCAGAGAGCCACAGCCTGCGCGCCTGCGTTCGCTCCACCTCCACCCTGGGCTGGCGCTGGGGAAACGTCGAGCGACTCTCCTCTCTGAGCACCAGCGCTCTCGTCCAAAACAGAGGCCTGCCAGGTCTCCGGTCACTCTGGTGAGGTTGTTGTGCAAAATAAATAAAATAGCACATTTATGTGTTGCAAGCCATCTGCACGAATGACAAAGGACCACACAAGCCTCGGGTATCACTAACCCATCTTTTCATTCCTTCCTTGGGGGGAAATGGGGCTGAGGGACTCACTGGCCTGCCCAGGAGTGGGTGCTGGGCTGCTATGACCAGATCTAACACCCCAGGCACCCCGCCCAGAAGAAGCCACAGTCAGTGGCTTCCCATCCTGGAACAAGACCCACGTGCACGTGGCTTCATCGGTACTGTGGCCTCAGCCCTCCAATGCACAGGGCAGCCCGCCACTGCATGGCTCAGAGCACAACCTGAGCCCTGAAAAAAATGCACAGTTTCTTTCACTGTGACTTGGCAAAAGATAGCCAAGTCCCAGTCACCACAGGAAAAAAGTTTCCCACCCTAGGAACTAACATGTCCCACGGGCTGGAGTGTGCTGAGAATGGCCTCCGGTAACATGGGGTTCAGTATGGAGGGTCTGAGAAAGGACCCGCGTCCATCTCCATCCCTATAGAGGGTAGCTGAGAGTTTTCTTCCCTGATTTCCAAATGGTGAGACTGAAGGACAGAGGGTACATGGGATCAATGACTACACCAGGAACTGCCACCCGTTCCTCCAGATTCCCAAGCCTGGGACCCCAGCCCTCCCCTCCCAGGCCTGGGACCCCAGCCCTCCTCTCCCAGGCCTGGGACCCCAACCCTTCCCCCTCAGGCCTGAGACCCCAGACCCTCCCCTCCCAGGCCTGAGACCCTAGCCCTCCCCTCCCAGACCTGAGACCCCAGACCTGTGACCCCAGCCCTCCCCTCCCAGGCCTGTGACGTCAGACCCTCTCACCCAGACCTGGGACCCCAGCCCTCCCCTCCCAGACCTGTGACCCCAGCCCTCCCCTTGCCTGGGCTCACCTGGGTGGTGCTCCCCCAGCCCCTGCAGCCCCTCGGGCGGATGCACGCAGACATTGTTCTTAGAGTAGATGATCTCCCCATCCAGGACAGAGAGGGGCCCGCTGCCAGCCGGGGTGAGGGTCAGGAGGTCCGAGGCTTTGGAGGAGGCCCGGCGAAGGAGGCGGCCCAGAGACATTGCTGGAGGAGTGTTTCCATCCTCTGCACACTCGGGCCCAGGTGGGGCTGGTCCACACCTGCCTGGGGGAGGGAGAGAGAGAGGAGATGCAGCGGGCGCAAGGTCATGGACTTGGGCTGGGTGTCTCTGGGGCTGCGTCCTGCCTCACACCAGCAGGCGTCAAACGGACACTGGTTACTACCAGAACCGGCCCTGCTAGCACAAAGCCATATGCAGGGCAGGCTGGGTCCTCGGCTGTGGCACTGTGGACATTTGGGGCCTGGTTGTCTTAATGGTGGGGGCTGCCCTGTGCACTGTAAGATGTCCATCAGCATCCCTGGCCTCCACCCACTAAAGGCCACTTGCACCCCCCCTTCCCACTATGACAACCAAAAATGTCTCCAGGCATTGCAAATGTCCCCCAGGGTCACAAAATCGCCCCCGCTGAGAACCACTTGTTGAGAGGAACCCTGTTCCCCCCACAGCAATCTCATCAAACCTCCAGAGTTTCTCTTTGCTCGGTTTTCACCCCTATGTCTGTGGGTGTCACCTGTGTCCCCTGCATCCCTGAACTTCTCACCCCTCTGCTGTGCTTCACAGGAGATTCTCTGGTTCTCCTTCCTCCTTCCCGTCTTCTCCACCTCCCACCTGTCCTGTGTGTCCCCCTCATCCCAATGCCCAGCCTGATGTCCCAACACATGATGGACCGTCTCAGCTGGCAAGGGTGTCACAAGTAACATTTGAAGAACTCGAGTTTACATACAACTCACTCTTGAAAAAAAATAAACTAGAAACAAAGGGATCAGATCCAAAATATACACAGAACTCCTAAAGATTCACCGCAAAAAGGAGCAACATCCGCAAAAAGGAGCAACATCCTAACAGAAAAGATGGGTGATTCACGGAAGAGGAAAACCGAAAGACTGATAAACAGGAAGGGTTTCTTGGTCTCAGAGGAAAACCCAAAACCCAATAGACTGGAAAAAACAAACCACCAAAGGCCTAGGCAGCCACTACGTGAACAAACTAGATGTCTCCTGTGGAGGGAGCTCACGCACACGGCCCACCAAACCGAGCCGTGGAATGACCATGGGCATGATGTCGCTCGCCTGTGTGAATGAAGAGATGCGTATAGAGCCGTGCTGTTTCCTGGTCAGAGATTACAGATGTCCAAGACTCAGACCTCACTGGGCAGGGTGCAGGCCAGCTTCATGGGGTGGGACGCTGGGATGGGAACATCCCCAGAGGGACTTTAACTCAATCTCTTTGAAAGAAAAAAAGACTTGAAGCCAATGTGATAAAATCATCCATTGGGAATGGATAAACACAATGTGGTTATCCATGCAACAGAACATTATTCCGCCTTAAAAAGGAATTGAATTCTAACACACACTACAGCATGGAGGAAACTTGAAGACATTATGCTCAGTGAAATCAACCAGTCACAAAAGGACAAATACCGTGTGATTCCACTTACACGAAGCACCTAGAGTAGGCAAATTCATAGAGACAGAAAGTGGGATGGGGGTTGCCAGGGGCTGGGGGAAGGGAGGGGGAGTTAGTGTTTAATGGGGACAGAGTGTCAGTTTGGGAAGATGAGAGAGTTCTGGAGATGGATGGGGGTGATGGCTGCACAACAATGTGAATGTGCTAATGCCACTGAACTGTACACTGAACCTAAAAATGGTTAAAATAGTAAATTTTATGTCATGTATATTTTACCACAATAAAAAGATAAATTAAAAAATTATCAACTGGTGGAGGGTCTCAGGGTATATTATTATATTGTTCTCTGAATTTCCTGCATTTTGTATTCTTCTCCCAAATCCGAGCTGATTTAGGATGTTCCCTAGATTGAGTTCTCTCTGCCCAGTGCTTGAACAGGCTCTCGAGGCAGAAGGGTGGGGGGTTCCAGCTGGCTCAGCAGACTCACCCCCATCCTGGCAGGAGAGGGGTGGTCTCAGAGGCATCCTTCACCATCCCAGGACCACGTGGCTCAACACTGGATCCTCAGCCCCATCTGGCTCTGTGGGTGCCCCTCCTGTGCCCCTCAACTCTGTTCTCCATTCTCTCCAGCTCCATTTGTGTATCTCTAGTTGCCTCCATGGCTACCAACTCTCCCAAGCACAATGTTCTGCTAACAGCTTCCCACCAGCCCAAGAGCTGCCTGTCCCGTCCTGCGTCTTGACACAGAAAGATCCCTCACTCCCTCCTCCCCCATCTCCGTGGTCCCTAACATCAGCATCACTTTGAAAATCACCAGTCCTCGGGCACCTGGGGCCCAGCTCAGGTCCTCACCTCCCAGCACTGAGCCATGGACATCCCTCCATTCTCAGCCACGTCCAGGGCCCCGAACCCACCCCTTCCCCTTCTCAGGCTTCCCCCACCCCAACTCTTTCAATGTAGGCTACAGAATCAAGCTGGCCCCTTGGTCCAGGGTCGGCAGGCTGGTTCTGAGGGCCAGACGGTAAGTGTTTTTGGCCCTGTGGCCAGAAGGTCACTGCTGTGGCTACTCAGCTCCGGCCCTGCAGCGTGAAAGCAGACAGTGATGGGCGTGGCTGTGTCCAGGAAGACTTTCTGGACACTCGTCCCTGAATTTCATGTCATTTTCACATGTCACAAAAAATCCTCCTTTTGATTTTTATCAACCAACTAAAAATGTAATAACCATCCTTAGCTCGCACACTGTAGAGAACAGAGGAAGTCTTGTTTGGTCCAAAGGCTGTGGATGGCTGACCCCTGGCTTCGACCACTTTTAGGACTCTCTCGCCAGGTCACAGATGCTCTGGGCAAGGCTGCCCCTCTCTACCCAAATCGCCTCCTGGCCAACCTCTCCAGGAAGCCCTTCTGGCCACTCCAGGTCACGGGGGTGTCTCTCTGTCTTAACCCCTGTAGTTCTACTAGCTGAACACTGTGCAGCCCACGACAACATATGGCAACCAACTCAGGAGACTTAAAAAATCATACTGGAACTTACACATCAAAAAATGTGTTGTCTTTCCAATTAATCGTCTAGAAAGGCTATATCCTTATCCCAATGATGATTCTGTTGTCTGGAATATTTTTGGAGTTCAAGAATTCTTCAAGAATTACAAAGTCAGTTAATGAGCCATACAAGAACACAAATTCCCTTTTTCTAGACCAGCACTGCCCAGTAGAAATATAATTTGAGCCATGCACGCAACTTCAAATATCCTAACAGCCATGTTTTTAAAAAGTAAAAAGAAATGAGTGAAATTAATTTTAATAATATATTTTTATTTAACCCATTATATCCCAAATAACATAATTTCCACATGTAAACAATATGAAAAAAAATTATTGATGAGCTATTTTACATTCTTTAAGTCTCTAAACTCTGGTGTGTATTTTGCACTAAAGCATGTCTCAGTTCCGACCAGCCACGCGCCAGGTGCTCAGTGGCCTCCTGTGGCCGTGGCCTCGGGTGGGCGATGCTGGGGCAGGGCTGCAGCCCCATCTCCTCTGGAGCCTCAAATGACATGACTGAATCATCCTCACAACCAGGCCGGGCTGAAAGCAACTCTCAGCTGATTCTAAAAACCAAACTGTCTTTAAGTGAAGATGTTTGCCACCACTGAGCATAATCAAAAGAATGTGCTGGAAGATTTGAAGGGGATTCCAAAATACAAGCGTTCACAGCATAGCATTTTCCCACCCATGAGACGTGAAACCTCACCGTGGCTCCGTGAGATACGGCCTAGAAGTGCAGACTGGCAAATGAGCAAACAGGTTCAACACACCTCAGAGAGCGGAGGTGTTCACTCAAGAGAGCGGAAAAACCCAGAACACGAGACCTTTGTCCTCTGTGTGCGGAGTTCCAGCTCCCACCCACCCCAGCCAACGGGGTGAGCGGGGATGTCCCACCCAGCTCCACCCCCAGACTGTCCTGGGGAAGACAATGTGCCTTCGGGTAGATCAGGGCCTGTCTGTTAAAAATTAGCCACAATTCGCATTTATTTTTTAAACCTATTTGTTCCTTTGTAAGCCTATTTTATCTAAATTAAACCTGGCTCCCAACCTCTGGTCTCTATCAAACTAGAAGTGGAGAATTCTTGACCTACTTTTTAAAAAAAATTATGAAACATTCTCAGAGCAGTATAAAGAATGCATGTCCCTTAAATCACACAATCCAAAAATGTTTGTGTATTTTCTACTATCTTCCAAGCCTATCTTAAAAAAAAAAACACCCACTGGAATTATGCCATATATGGCTTTTAGTTATATCATAAATATATTTTTCCCTGAGTTATGGGTTGAAGAGCGTCCTCCCAAAGTTCACGTTGATGTTCTAACCCCCAGCACCTCAAAACGTGACCTTATTTGGAGATGGTCTTTTTTTTTTTTTTTTTGGTGAGGAAGACCGGCTCTGAGCTAACATCTATTGCCAATCCTCCTCCCTTTTTTTCCCCAAAGCCCCAGTAAATAGTTGTATGTCATAGTTGCACATCCTTCTAGTTGCAGTACGTGGGACGCGGCCTCAGCGTGGCCGGAGAAGTGGTGCGTCGGTGCGCGCCCAGGACCCGAACCCGGGCCACCAGCAGCAGAGCACGCGCACTTAACCGCCAAGCCACAGGGCCAGCCCCTAGAGATGGTCTTTACAGAGGTAATCATGGTAGAATTAGGTCATCAGGGTGGGCCCTAATCCAATGTGACTGGTGTCCTTTAAAAAGAGGAAATTTAGCGGCTGGCCCCATGGCCAAGTGGTTAAAGTTCCGTGCACTCCGCTTTGGCGGCCCAGGTTCGCACTTCAGATCCCAGGCACGGACCGACACCACTCATCAGCCATGCTATGGTGGCGACCCACATACAACATAGAAGAAGACTGGCACAGATGTTAGCTCAGGGCTAATCTTCCTTGGCAAAAAAAAAAAAAAAAAAAAGGAAATTTGGAGATAGACACACACACAAAGAGAACACCATGTGAATATGAAGACTGCCATCTGCAAGACAAGGACAGAGGCCTCAGAAGGAACAACCCTGCCTATACTTCAATCTCAAACCTCTGGCCTCCAGAACTGCAAGAAAATAAATTTCTCTTCTTCAAGCCACCCAGTTTGTGGTA